CAGCATCGTCTGGGAATTTGTAAAAAACAGAGAATATCAGGTACCACCCCAAACTGCCAGAATCTGAATCTGAATTTTAACAGGGTCCCCAGCTGATGCTTCTGCATGTTAGGGTGTGGGAAGAAGCATGGCTCTAGATGTTAGTATAGGTGACTGAAAAGTATATTGCTCCCAGCTTTTGAAGTAGAGTCATACTGTCTTTTCAGTGTATTTCCTATCATTTATTTGGCTGACATTGTAGGGAGAAAGAAGTCCTTCAGGTCTCCAGAGTATTATGCAGCAGATTGCCTTTTCTGCATCACCTAGTGATTTTCAATGGCCTGGAAGATGGAGCAATTTAGCAGTTTACTGCTTAATTGTCAAGCTTTACTCTCTTTTCATTAATAGTAGTCACACTTGGAATCTTACGAGTCTGAATAACAAAGATGGTCAGGGCATTACCTGTGTTTGATTAGAGTCACAGGTAGGAGAGGATGTTTGAGTGTGTTCAGTAAAGTTGTTTTGAACCATGGTATATCTACTAATGTAGTTTGTAACTGGTCTCTGCATGGGCGTCCCCTGAAGGGCTTGCTAAAAAGTCAGATTCTCCGGTTATGCCCAGAAGATTCTGATCTTCAGTAGGGCAGCCCAGAGGCCTTGGAATCTGCATTGCTAAGAAACACCTTCTGTCCTGGGACTGCACACAGCCAGTTTTGCAAACCACAGCATTAGTCAGTTTCATTTCTGTCAGTTAGAAGACCTTTCCTTTCCCCTCATGTTTTCATTTTTTATCCCCCCTTGTTTTCATTTTTGATATCGTCAGTCATTTCACTTATTTTTGCATAAAGCTAAAAATTTAGGTAGTTGAGGATAGAAAAATAGAATATCAGCCTAGAAGGTAGAAGCCCTGTATTCTTGACTTGTTGTAGACTAAAGGGACAAGACATTGTGTTTTCACTTTACTAATCTGTGAAATGGGCGTTCCACCTCCGTGGACTGTGAGATAATAGATGTGTGAGAGCTTTGAAGTCTTCAAAAGAAAAGGTGTGTGAGTTGAGCTGGTTATTGCCGCCTTGTTTCAATATCCTTCCTGTTAAACGTGTTTTTCGTTTCAGCGTAAAACCTGGTTCTCACTGAAAACTTAGCTCTGCAGTTTCTGTCTGCTTTTTGCTTTACATCCATCCTCACCGTCCTCTGCTTTCGGACGGTCCTCCAGCATCTGTTACCGTGGAAGGCTTTGCCTAGGTCAGTCAGGGTAAGAGTTCCTCTGCGGGGCAGGTCAGAACAGCTCTTGCCGAGACCTGTAAGGAATCAGAGTTGCCCAGTGGGACAGGAGCTCAGAACAGGACGAACTTGGGAGCCCTGGACACCTTGTTTCCGAGTATACGCTGTGATGAATTCACTGCCTGGGTGGGACACGCCCAGGACTCCTTGCATCCTTAGGAGGACACGCCAGCCAAGTAATGGGTAAAGGCTGGGTGTGTTTGTCTTTATTTGGTGAAGGGATAGGCTGGCTCAGGGACATTTCTGTATTACAGAGTAAGCAGACACTGAAGGCACATAATCTTAATTGCTGAGATGTATTACTGGGTATATTATGATTCTAAACCGCCTGACTGAACACCTCCGAAGGATGAAACACAGAGAATGCCCTTTCTATTTTTGTTATTTAGGATTTTTAGATTCTAGATCTGACTCCTATTAATGAGCAGAGAGGAAGGCTTGACAATAAACTGCGAAACTGCTCCCCGTTTCAGACAATTGAATGCTACGAGGTGACGCAGAAAAGGCATAGAATATACTTTACTTGGTCCTGTCTTAAAACAAAGGATCTTCTAGGAGATAAACTTGGTTTTAAGAATGATGTCTGTCATGGTTAAGGTACGTGGAGGACTGGAAAGGAACGATGCCAAAATGCCAGTTTGTAAGGTTCAGCTCCCTTGAACAAATACAGAACGCAGGTCCACACAGAAGAGGGGGAGATTTATTTAATTTTAGGATTTATATCAGTTAACCCATACTAGAGGCACTATTATTTTCATTCTGCAGGTTAGGAAATCGAGGCAGGTTCAGTAAATGATCCAGAGACACACACACAGTAAAATGCAGAGCCAAGATAAAAATATAGGCATTCTGGTTCTAGAGTCTTAACTCGTAGGTGGACTAAATTGCTCCTCCAATGAGAACTGTTGAGTCTGCTGTTTTAAAATAATTTTGTCATGTGGTACTCAAGAATTTTTTATTTCTTCTCTTGTATATTGACAGTTTCTCCTTGTTGCCCTATATTGTCTTTATTTCTTGAAATGACACCACTATAATTCTTTGGAATTTTGCTGTGTGGCGCTGTATAGATTCTTTTGTTTGTTTGTTTGTTTTTTGCATGTTGGTACTTTCTCCTTCTTGTTGCTCTAGAATTAATTGTCTTTATTTCTCAAAATGACATCACTGTCATTCGGGATTTTTTTTTTGTGCGTGGGTAGAAGTAGCAGTGGCGATTTTATCGTCTTAATTTCCAGGCAGGATCGCATCACAGACTTCAGGCAGAGACCCCACCATGTCAGGGAAACCATAAAGCCACTGCCACGGTGGCAGTGAGCTCATTAGAACTGTCTTGGGGTGAAGGTCGACCAGAGCTTCTGAATGTGCTTCCTGAAGGTTGTTTGTTTATGCTTAATTTTCATGATTGAGTAGATTATGTGGTGTATCTTCATTCGGGTATTTCCTGGGTATGTTTTGAGCTTTAACCATTTTGATAAATCCATTTTTATCTGATCGAGCTCCATAAAGCTAACGATTTGGGGATACAATTTTGAGTTTCAGAGTTTATCTCCCATTGGATTATACTCAAATATGGTTATGGTTGGAAGGTTCTCTGAATGAGGTTTCCAGAGTTTCTAAATCCTAGATTTTGAGTCTTGCCTATCGTCCCCTGTGATCTTAATTCTGCTTTGGGTTTTGTGGTCTTGACTTTGGTGGCAGGATTTTAACTCATCATCCTATGTATATTCTCCTTAAGAGTTAGGCTTCTTTCACGTGAGAACAATTCTTTTTAATATTGTGTTCTTATGGTCCATTCATCATCAAATTATTTATAATTTATTGCACTTCCTTTTGTTTTATCTTTACTACTAAAGAAAAATAGGAGAAAGGATTGAAAACAATCTCCTGTAAAAAGTTAAAGTTAAATATCCTGTTTATTCAACCAAATGTAAGCCCTTAATGATAAGAAGATAATCATCTACTGAATTAAGTACGCTCAACAAATATTGGCTGAGATTTTGTTACGTGTCTTAATACCTTCGAATTTGGCTTCGATGAAATAGGAACAGTCTTTTGGATTTTCAGCCATCTGACGGGTCTCATAAGGGAATGACATCATCCAATACAGAAACTGTTACAGCCCCAAAGTGATTAATGCACACATTTAACTATGCTACTGCTCTGCTTATGACCGTGCAGTTCCTTCCCTTTTCCTTTGAAGATATCTGCCTCCTTACCATGGTCTGCAAAGCTCTAGATGACCCTCCAGCTTGTTGATTGTTATGCTTCCTCTTGTTTATCCCTCTCAGGCATCAATGGCTTCTTTCAGTATCTCAGAATCACTAGAATGTGTTGCCCTTTCCCCTTCCTCCTCCTCCAACAAGGATGGCTCCTTTTCATCCTTTGCTTTGATCTGTCTCCCTCAGAAAGGTCTTCCTGACGACCTTAAGCAGCCCTTCCTCCCCATTACCAGCCCATCCATTTCATTCTTAGCACATATCACTCTTTGTCCTTGCATATTTATTTATAGTCTAATGTGAAGCTGGTTGTTCCTGACTAGACTGTAAACACCAGGTGGACAAGGACTAGGTGCCTTGTATTCACCAATGTGTACCCAGTGCCTGGCAAAGTAATATTGCGATGATTATTTACAAATTACTTATAGGAGTGCCTATTTTGCAGAAGCTTTAAGTAATAGCTCTCAAAACTTCTTTTGCTAGTTTGAGTTGGTAACTCCTAACACATGATACCAGTGGCGTAGCAGGTGTTTCACGTGGTTATTTAATTAGGCAGCCAAGCAGGGTTTTTTTACAGTTAAAGAAAGTATGCCTTATTCCGAGTTATCTGTGTATCTTTCCGGTATGCCTTTTAGGATACAGTGCCTCTGTTCTTTGTTAATCAAACATTTGTCTTAATTTAACAGTTAACTGTTCCGTCTTTAACAGCAGGAGACACTATGAAATCCAACAAAAAGGTCTCCTTTTTTTTAATGCCTTATAAAAAGAAGACACACATAAACACACATTCACACACACTCTCTGAATGAATCTATCTGTGCAGCACCTACCATGCTGCTTGGCAGCCAACGTACACTTAATTTGGTGAAAGTGCGTAAGTCCTTACAGATAGAAAAATTTTGTTTAAAAAGTCTTAAACTTCTGTTATGTAGTCTTCTCTAGATTATGTAGATCAGTCAACCATAGTTTATTGATTAAATGGATTTAAATTTTATGATAGAAAAGAACATTGCAATTAGTTAGGTAGAATTTATTTTAATATATGTAAAAGCTGTACAAAGCACTTCAGCAGTAGATATGTATGTATATTTATAGTGATAAAAATCTCAGTTTAGTTTAAATAAACAGAAAAAGTCCATTGATCAAATCAGGTGTAAAAACATATGAATATCTATTAAGGGATATAGAATTGATGATTAGCCAGTCACGGTAAAGTGAACAGAGCAGGTCCTTCAATAATAAAGCAAACCAACCAGTTTTAAATGTGAATCGGCTGGAGTGTGTGCACGTGTAAGTGTGTATGTGTGTGGCATACCCTGGTTGTTGCTATTACGGGAATATTGCATTCCTTACAGAGAACTCAAGATGCCGGTTAATTACATGCCAATTTCTGGGTGTTGAGAATATTGTGTTTCGTTCTACCGATTACATTACATGAGATAAAATTCAGGTGCTTAAAGGCTTTATTTTTTTTTAAGCCCTTCCGAATGCAAGATTTCTAGTGACGGGTTTCTTCTTCTGCAGGAGAGCACACAGCTGCTACAAATGCCGTCAGTGCAGTTTTACATCTGCCGAGACTCAGTCACTACTGGAGCACTTCAACACCGTTCACTGCCAGGAGCAGGACAGCACTACAGCCAACGGCGAGGAGGACGGCCACGCCGTGTCCACCATCAAGGAGGAGCCCAAAATTGACCTCAAGGTCTACAGTCTGCTCAGTCCAGACTCTAAAATGGGAGAGCCAGTGTCTGAGAGCGTGGTGAAGAGGGAGAAGCTGGAAGAGAAGGACGGGCTGAAAGAAAAAGCTTGGGCTGAGAGTTCAAGCGATGACCTTCGCAGCGTGACTTGGAGAGGGGCAGACATCCTCCGGGGCAGTCCGTCCTATACTCAAGCAAGCCTGGGGCTTCTGACCCCCGTGTCCGGCGCCCAAGAGCAGACAAAGACTCTAAGGGATAGCCCCAACGTGGAAGCCGCCCATCTGGCCCGCCCGATTTACGGCTTGGCTGTGGAGACCAAGGGATTCCTGCAGGGGGTGCCAGCGAGCGGAGAGAAGGCCGGCGCCCACGCCCAGCCGTATCCTGCATCCGGAGAAAACAAGTCCAAGGATGAATCCCAGTCTCTGTTACGGGTAGGAAGGTTTAATTTTTAAATGATTCATATATCTTGAAGGGGAAACGGGGGAACACACATTCTCTCGGGTTAGGATCATGTCTTACCAAGTGCAACTCAGTGATCTGTGTCGATCCGGGATTTATAAGTAATAAGGCCGAAATGGTGGAGAGCAGCTTGTGTGCGTTTGTGTGCATACACGCGACACATACGTGATCGAGTGGGTAGAAGTCACTTGTTTGTCACTGCTCTTTGCTCCGACTGAATGTTTGTTAATCATCCCTGGTGGCTATGCAAAACAACGAGGCCGCTTTTGGAGAAGGGAGGTTCAGAATCCCAGAAGGATGCACATCTGTTACATTAAAGTAACTAAGTGACTTAAATTTTAAGGTGGTGTGGCAGAGTATATGGTTAATAGGGAAATTAGCAGAGATGTAAATCGCTAAGACTGCAAAGCCCTCGGTGAGCTGTTAATAAAGAAAAGTCGTGTATTTTGCAAACCTACAGTGTAATTATGTACGAATGAATGACAGTGTTTATTGTTTACTTGCCAAGAGGAGGGGAAAAAATGAGATAGACTTTAGTGTGAATGGTGTGAAGAACATCCAAAGAGGAGAACCGTGCATTTTATATTATCGGGCTTTTGTAGGGAGAAAGACACAGTCTCGTGTGGGAAAAACAAAGCAAAAGCTCTGTAAGATAAGACCCATGCTGGCTGTCTTCATGCTGTGTAGACTGAACATTGTCAAGAAATATTTTAGATTTTGAAGATTCACGAGCTCCCAGTGGTGGTGCCTAAGGCGCCACCGCTTCGACATTTCCCCTTGACTCTGAGAAAGTTTTGAGCTTTCCGGATGATTTCAAGGCTTTGTTCCTGCAAGGAAGGTAGGATCAGAAACCAGCTGACCTTTACAAAAGAGCTGGTTGGGAGATACAGTTCAGGCAGCCCCATGCTCTGACCTGGAGGTGAGAGACCCCTGAGTTCTCTCTGGATGTATTCTGGGGAGAGAAACTGCTCTTCCCAGTGTCTGCTTGGCTGCTCTGCTCTCATTTCCTGCAGATTCTCTTCAGCCTGTCAGCTCCTCTGGTTTTCTCTAGTGGAGTTTAGAAACACCCTTTAGAGGAGCACAGTTAATTCTAAAAGCTGTTACCTTTCCTGTCTTCAGCCATGCCCTGGAGCGAAGAGAACGGCTTGAATGCAGAAGAGGAGATGCCTCCTCTACACTGAGAAACAGAGAATCCTTCCTGCCCGGAAGGAGCAAGTTTAACTTAAGTAACTTTAGAAAGAAGAAAAATTGTTCCTATGCTTTTTAAGCGGTATTCAATTTAGGGAGAGCTTCTTTGATATATTATGCCTTTTTTAATTGTAAATGCTCATCATTTGCTTCCTGGTCTGAAGTGGCTTTTTTGGTTTCTGGTGATAAGGCAGGAATGACATGTCCTAGGGTTTTTAAATTTCATGTTGCATCTGGAGAGCTTGGTGGAGCTGATTGCCTTAGATCTGAATCACTAGAGCTCCCCACTCTTTTTTTTTTTCTCACTTAAAATTGTGTTCAGCCATAGCATCTTTATTTGATACCAAATTGTGTGACTCTTTTAGACTGTTCCTGGAATATTACCTTTTCTGCCACCATTTGTATACACTAAGAATTTGGAATGAGCAATCATTTATTCAGCAGTGCAGTGTAAAACCTGAGAATTATAGTTCTATTCTTTAAGCAGGCTGAGGACGATCATACTTTTCTAAAAAAGTTGTTTTTCTCAATTCCTCCACTTCCTTAATTCCCTGACTTCGACTTTCTGTTGCATCATTTCAACTGTCTTTTCAGTTCCTCCCCATCAGCTGCTGAAGTAGTAAATCTTCAGCGAGAGAGGCAACTTAACTATATTCTACAATGAATACCAAATTCCCTACTGTAGGATTTGTGATACTTAAAGGCCATCATTTACTAAGTTTTGAGAGCTGACAAAAATATATTTATATATATGATATATTTTAAGTCTTGGATTGTTCTTCTGTGATTTTAGTTAAATTTGAATCTTTAAAATTTGCATTTCATTGTATTTGAATAGTACTCTTGGAAATCACCCACCATAATAAATCGCCGTTTTATTGGACATTTGGAATAGGAGGTATAGCTAATTTAATTTATTATGAAGTATTTAGTATATTACCTGAATTAAAAAGTTTTAATGGGCGCATATCTTGCCGATCAGCTTTTTAAGATACCTGAGAGAATTAAGAAGCTGAGCCTACTTTTGATTGTGAATTTGACACGAATGCACGTTGGTGGTAGAAACTGGTATTGCTGAGTTATCATAGCAGACACTCTTCTCAGTTCTTTTCTCTGCCATCAGTCAGGGAAAACCTGAAAGAATATCACCATCATGTTTACTAAGGTGAAAGCAAAGAACTTTAATTTTGTAATTTTGGAAGTCTAGTTAGTAGCGAAAGTATCCTGTAAAAATTTAGAAATACACAATTGAGATATGCAAATACAGTATACATGTTTTAAATGAAAGTAGTGGTCTACGTAAATATTGATCTACAGAATGTAATATTCACGTTCACTTTAAATAGTAGAATGGAACTTGAAATCACCTTATTGTTTGGCATGTTTGTTTAGAAGTAGTGAGCAATTTAAGAAATGAAAAGTAGATTTTAAAAGTGATTTTTTTTCAATTAAATGGTGCATCCAATGTAGCATTCATGGAACAGATATATTTATAAATTCATTTATATGTATAGTTTCTAATACTAAAAGTGAAAACTTGACTGTCCTCTTTAACTACTGTGCAGAGTGATTTCGATTAAGTATGGAAAATTTGTCCAACAGGAAAATGTTAATTTCAAGTAGCTGAACTCTATGCTGGTAAATAATGGAAACATTTTTAAAGAGTATGCTGAATGTAGTTAGGGTCATGTCGCAGTGCATATAATTATAATGCTGCTTTCAGAATATTGGTCTTTCTGATACCTATTTTTAACTGGTTTTAGTTTTGAAATTTTGGTTTACTCAAAGTGAGGAAGGAAATATAAGAATCACAGACAAGAGCTTAAGTTTCAAAATATTCGTTAGTTTTCATCACTTCTTTTTTCTTTTCTTTTTTTTTCTTGTATAGGTCAGTGTTTGGCTCTTTAGTTTTGTGTCAAGTGGCAGAGATCACTTATGTATATTTTCTTTTAGTGAATGTCTTTAATTTCCCTTGTTACTAGTATGGAAACTGATCTTGTTATAACAAAATCTAAATTGTGTATATGACCTGTGTTGACCCTTGTGCTTTGAGCATAGCAAGGGGCACATTAACATAAGTTTCATCTCGTAAATTGCTGTATGAATATTAGGGTTTTCATTGTGTATCAGCAGTATTTCTATAAAATCATTGCTTTTCTTTCGTGAGTAGGAAGATACATTAAACCTTTTAGACTCTTTGCTAGAAACAGTCCAAGTGTGTATGTAAACTTTAATTGTTACTCTTTTAAAACGTCTAGAATAGATCTTCTAGAACTTGAATAAGCTCTGGAAAATGTTTTGAAAATGCAGTGTTTAAATTTGGCTCTGTGAAGAGGTTAAGGTATTTAATGTTGCCTTGCTAAAAGCAAAAGCTAATTGGCTTCGTATATTCAAATAGGTACTCCCTTCTCATTTTAAACTAAACAGTGTCGTATAGTCAGAACTCCATATAGTCAGATGCTCTTTTCTGACCAGCATCTTCAATAATGTCTGTTTACCCCAAGGTATGTACGTATGTATGTGTGTATTTATTTGGTAGATTCTTATGCAGATGTGCCTGTATTAGTTTTATTATTTCCTGGATGAGAAATTCTAGATTTCATTCTTGTAATTGCCTTTTTACATTGGATTTTATGACACAGAAAGGTTTGTCTTTTAACTGATAACCATGTTAAAAGGAGCAAAACCCCTATCATTAAATTTCATAAAGATTTTGCCAATATCAAGTACATATTTCGGTTTTTAATGAAACACAGAAGTGTGATTGTCTTGTTGGCAAATCTGTAGTTCAGGTAGTGTATTGCAGACCAGCACTCATGTAAACTTCTCCATGTCATGTCTGAACAGATGTCACAGGCCCTAATTCTTCCTTAAGTTCCAGCACCCTAGTTATCAGCCCACTCCCTTCGTGCTCCTAGGGGAAAAACAAATCTCTTTGCGATTGATTTTAGTTTCCAGTTTAAATTTATGTAGGGAAGTTTGTCTGTTTTAACATGCACATTTTGCATGGCTTGGCTTTGGCAGAGATGTTTGGCTGTGGGTTGTAGAGTTGAGTTTCAAGTTCTGGGAGCTGAGATCCAAGCTGATGGGTGGTGATGCCCTCCGTCCTCCCAGGAGTGCTGCACAGCTGAGTTAATTAACGTTCGTCAGGCCATTTGAGATTGTCCGATGCAGGGTTCTAGATAAGTGCAAAGTAGTATGATTTTTTGTTCATTTTGTAAATGTGATACCAAGGCAGCACAAAGCAGATGTTATTTCCCCCTTTCTTTGGCGGCGTTAAATTTATAGTTTAAAGATCGTTGATACCGGACAAGCTATTGAGATGCAAAAATGTTCTTTTGGGGACAGTCCATTGGCAGCCAAACAGACGTTTAAACAAGCGACAGTGTTGAATGCCTGTACAACCACTGACAGAAGATCGCAGGAACTTTTTTGAACTAAAGATGATCTCAAGTGAAAAGTCTGATATTTATTGTTTTGCTCCATGTCTAATGAAAATAAAAGCAATTATCACATAAGTACTGTTGACTTCACATAGTGTTTATGTACATAACCATTTTCCTAACTCCATTTGAATTTTTTACATTTTCATCATCAAATACCAAAGAGAACGGTCTATACCAGGAAAAAATGGCTACGAAAAATCATTGGCTACGAAACAGTAGTTTTTAGGACATGTTGTGAAGTTTCTCTTTAAGTAGCCATTGGTATTTGTTTTGCCTAAGAATGAAATATTAAAAACCATTTAACATATCCAGAGATTAATGGTCTGTGTATATCTCTGTACTTCTGCCCTATATAGATGCATTTCTGTTGTCTATTAAACAAGGGTATGATTTAAATTCAAATACAGATTTATTTTTTAAATACTATCCATTCAACTTAGTTATATGTAATAGTGAACATGACCATTCTAATTGCTTTCACTAAGTGAAGTCTAGATGGCTTTATTTTTCTTTATGGATCATTCATCTTTTATATTAGTATACTGTATTTTACAGTAGACCACAACTAAAACCTGTTTGATACATGTATGTTTGGTTTTATTGGTTTGACCAATGGGATTTTCTATTATTCTAATTTTAAGTCAGCTCCACTGGCTCAAGTATTTTTTTAAAAGCATATTTTTTTCTTTTCTGTAACCTCGGCTCTTTGTGAAGTCTGGCATCATTCTGCTGGCCCAGGTTTCTAAGGCCAGAGAGGCAGATGTATCTTTTGGTGGATCGGGCTGGAAGTTTGTCGTCGCTGTGAAATGGTATCCTTCAGCACAGTATCTGTTAATTATTTCCTGTACACCTATCTTTTGCTCTGCTTCCTTTTTTTTCACAGACCGCATGAGTCAGGAGATAACTGGGCTCCAAAAGGACCCCATTGTTGAGTGTTCTTAGATGTTGGAAGTGAGGAGTTTACAGAAGGTGGCCTGAGTTTCAGGAGCACAGGTGCAGAATGGTTCAAAAGTGTGTCAGCCGTCAGCTACGCAGCCTTAAGGTGAAGCTAGTCTTCTGGCCAAGTCCAGTCTGACGGATGGATTTAACGAAAGTGTTGATTACCTAAAATCCAGGAAGAGTGTTTTATTTTGGATTTTTGCCTGGTTTGTTACTTGCTCCCACCAAAAAGTAAATAGCGTTTCCATTGTTGTAGTCTTTGACTCTCCCTTCCCTTTGGCTCTGGTAGTGAACGTTTATTAAGTGTTTTTAGGCAAGGACATTGATTTCTAGGATGGGCTACCTATAAACTCAAGGAAACGTGGTGAGCAGGATGCCACTGCATCAGGCTGTGCAGTTAGTTTAAGAAGGTGCAGACAGTTTTCAGTGAGGTTCCAAGAACCTGTTTCTTTCATTTTGGTGAAGCAACATTTTCATTTGTGGATGTTTATAATTAACTATAATTTACAATTAAAATAGAATCTGGAATATGGCCTTATTTTGGAGAAAATCCATACTACTTTATCTTATGGCATATGTTTTTTTTTCTGTTATCAGTGATTAAGAGTGAGGTGAAGGGATCTTCCTTTCATTTTGTTTTTGTAAGTACAGGACATTTGTGATGTGACAGATTGAGTGGTATCATCTTTCATGCTAGAATGATCAAACAGCTCTCACACATCATTTTACACATTAACTTGCCGTTTTGAAAAGAGTTTCTCAATTTAGAATATTTAATTTGGGCATATTAATTATGAAAGAGATGAATCATTTCATACCCTGGAAATTTATCTATCTGTAAAATCATGATTAACTGGGGAAAACTAAGACTATATAGATAAATTTTTAAAAGGCAAAATGTACTTTGTAATATTTAAATGAGACAATACATGGCTGATAAAATGGTGTCCCGTGTCCTAGTCATAGTCCTCTAAATGAGTCACTTTTAAGATATAAAATAAATTCACCCATAAATAATGCTTGAAGAGTAATATCTTAGAAATATTTAATTAAGGATTAGCCATTAAAGTATAAATTGACTTATTTAATGATGAATGAAGATAATTAAGGAAAAAGCAAATGATAATTTTTAGGAGCTATTTCTCATGGATATGGAATGTAACAAATCTCCAATAGGCAGTTACACCATATGAATGTTTACCTCCTGTTGCATGTGCAGCACAGTTTACTTTGTACAGAAATTTATTTCCATGTAGGACCCATGTCCTTAAGCTGAATTGAGTCATGTGCCTTAAGTGAAAACAGTCCACTCAGATAGGCGTGCCTTTTTTAGTGGAGAAATCTTTCTTTTTTTCTTGTTTGCATTTTGCCTCCATGGACGATGTTTTGACAACCCTTCACAATTTCTCAGCCCAGTTTTGAAGTTTTTACCTTCCTTAGGTGTGTGTTGGATATGTTGGGTAATAGTGTGGGCTTTGAGGGAGTATAAAAGAGAAGAATTTGATTGTTCTCTTTAAAAATATGGAGTTTAATGATCATTATTTGTTGCTGAAATATTTATATTGATTCCATTAGAAAGTGTTTTTCTTTCATAGGACGATCAGAATGTCAGAAAGATTAGTCTTTATTATTTCTCAGTAACATATGAAAATGATGGGGTATATATCACAGGAAGCTATATTCTGTGTGTGTGTGTGTGTGTGTGTGTGTGTATGTGTGTGGGTGTGGGTGTGAGTGTATGTGTTTAACTGAATCACTTTGCTGTACAACTGAAGCTAACATAGCATTGTGGATCAGCATAGTTCAATTAAAAAAAAACAGGATCAAGAATACCTTCTCTATTAACATTAAGTTTGTGGTTGTGATATGCTAAAAATACACAATTTCAGGCCATTCTTGACCAGTTAGTAACATTTATGAAGACATACATGATGTCATTTATATACACAAGTTAAGTCAGACATACATGGGAATCTAAAAATTTACAAATAAGATGTTTGTGAGACATACTCACTTTACTTAAAAATAATCATTTGCTTTAAAAAAAAAACACCTCAGTCTGAGACTTTAAAAATTTCTTCCCAGGTACCTTGAAAAGTGAAAATGTTTTTATTTACTTATAACTTTTTAGAAGCCTCTCGGTTTTACAAAGCATACTGCAGTTGAAGCAGTGGCCATATTTTAGGAGATACCCATGTTTGGTTAATGGAATTCCTCTTGTGTCAGGAATTTACAACCTAAAGTTTTCTTGACGACTGAAGAAAGTAGAAGTAGAATCCGTCTACTTTACCTGAATTCAAAGACAATTGGAGGTTTTTAAAATATGGATTGTCTAGATGGGCCGTCTGCGATCTACAAATTAATTATCCAGTTAATATGCCTCTCAAAACTTTATGCTGTAATAATATAAATGATACAGGATTTTTTTAAAAAAATCTAAATTTAGAGCCTATCTCAAATTCACATGTAATTTAAATGTTTTTCATGAGTCCAAAATATATCCAAACTCTTCTTTAGTCCTGAGGTTTTAGTTGGGTTTGGAGGTGGGTGTGTTCCACCTTTGATGGAGTCTCTCTGGTTGTGATTCAGGCTTGACTGGATTTTATTTTCCAGTAAAACTATATTTTGTGTTTTCTTTTTACTCTTCCCTTGTGATGTAGTGGAAAGAGTACCGGATTGTAGGAAAAGAGGCTTTGTGCTCTAGACTCTCTTTGTGACTAACTAGCCGTGTGACCCTCGGTGAGTCACTCAATCCTTATGCCCTGTTTGCTTCTTTGGAAAATTAGAGAGAGAAGCACACAATTTCTCACATCTCTTGAAAATTGCCAACTCTAGGGCCAAGCAAATTTTCTATGAAATCTTAAATGTTTAGACCTATGAATTGATATGTGGGGCAACTTTTAAGACAAAAAATCTTCTATTTTACACTTAGCCATGCTGGTGTCCAAGGAGATATCACATATTTGATGTAACAGTTCCTAAGTCAGATTTCCCTATAATGGCTGAGAACCCATAAATTATAAACAACTGTCACACTACAGTCGAAAATCTTCAACAATTGTATTATTTGAGCTTATGCAAGAAAGCTCACTCTTTGAAAATAACTTTGTTTGAAAGAATCGTGCTATTAAGGGGCCTCTTATGATGATAAAAGGAAGTCTGTACAATGAGAAATAAAATAATTCTGGTGAGAATATGACATGCTTAAAGTCGTGTTTCCTCAGTTTCTTGGCATTGAGCGATGATGCCTGTTTTGTTCACAGTCAGATGTTCAATCAGAATTTTGGATGCAGAAACTAATTTTAGTAGGTGGGGTGCAAATTTCTTATGAGTCCATGAATAGACTCTAATCCCAGCTGTTTCATTACAATTATAAAAATAAAATTGGCTGTGAATCATTCAAACTTTGTTTAATGGGTGTGAATAATTCAGTTTCGTCCCCTACTGAAATCTTGAAACTATAAACCTATCTTGGATTCTTTATGCTCCTTCAGAGTTAATACCTCATTATCCATATATGAGTTATTTGAAGTATTGGTGATCATGATGAAAATGATCGTATTTCCACTCAGTTCTTGTGGGTTTCAGGAGAAGAGAGGAGGTGGCCTCTACGTTGAGGCTGGTGATGAAAACGAGAAAGAAACTGGGAAGAGTTTATGACAAGAGAAAAGGATATCAAATTAGTATTTGTTGGCATTTTTCCCCTATTAAAATATATGTTTATTACAGACATTTTAGAAAATATAAGTAAACAAAAAGAAGAAAATGACTACTCACCACTTTAATGTATCCCTTTCTGGACACACACATGTGCGCGCATGCGCACACACACAGACATACACATATATGCATAGATTTATATGTTTATTGTTAAACAGCCTTCAACTTCACTTTTTAAAAAACTGTAAACATTTTCTCCTGTTAGTGTATATTCTGCTGTTATCACATTTATTGACTTAGTAGCATTTCATTATGTGTTGTACCATTTGTACTAGAAAAGATTATTGATTCCTTGTTGTTAGACATTTAAGTTAGTTCCAATTTTTTGCTGTGGTAAATAGTGCTGCATTGAATATCCTTGTAGTTAAATAATTGTAGCTAACAATCCTAAATTGTTAGAATTGGTTTCCTTATAATCAGGTTCTTTCTGTGGCGTGACATAGTAGTGGGGTTTATTGGCAAATGTAAGTCTCTTTACCAGGCTGTGTGTATATACTCTGGGGAAATGAGAAAACAGTATCACTTCTAGACTTTTATTGGTTAGAACTGCCTCACAGTGGTAGCTTAGAAATAGAAACCCCAACATTTTCTTTAAACGTTATTGTGGGGTAAAAGTTAATATGAGGGTTTGAATAAGGTATGTTTCTGAAGCACCAAAAAAGATTCAGTGAAGCGGTATTTCCCTTCTACAATTGAAAGATTCCTTAGTCACCTTGACATTGAAAAAGTATTTAAATGGTATAATGTATTGAAATGAGTCTTAGAAGGTAAATATATATTATATACATATAGGTAATATTTATAAAAGGATTTCACTGTCTTCAAAAAGATTCTTAATGTTAATATGTTTTGATGATCATATAAAGTTGATGCCAACAGCTACTCAGTGAAGTACTTGGCATGCACACAAACTCTATTTTAAAGTATTTGAATTTATTTTAATTTTATCAAGGTCATTTATATAGTTTATCATAAGGTGAGAATGAAAATTAATTGTTCAAGGGAAATGTAGAAAACCATTCTAAATCCCATTTTCATTTTCTTTTTCAAGCATCTTACCACTATATGCAAAGTCCTTCCGTAAGACTAGAAACTGATTGTATTTATCGTTCACGAAATTTCGACGATATACTCTTTTGTTTGGGGGGATTTGAATGCATATTTGCTTGTATCTAAATTTAAATACATTAGTATTTATCTGGGTTCAGGATTTATTTTCAAAGAACCAACATGCATTAGACCAAAACTAACCTAGACTCAGACTTGAAAGAAATAAAAATCCAAAGTAAGAGATAACTGTAGAGTTGTTCCCTAATATACTGGTCTCTAACTTTTCTTTTTTTTTAATTGAAGTACAGTCTCTAATTTTTCTTGTCCTGAAAATAATAACTTAGCACCTATTTTGTTTCAGGAATCACAAAAGATCCTATAAAGTGTATGAATGTGAGTAAATCAGGGTTCTTGCCCTCAAGTAACATACAATCATGTATAGGTGATAAGCTAAGTAAACTGACAGCTATAATAAAAATAAGGCTTCCATAAAAGGGTCAAGGAGAGGACAGCTGTTGTCTTTGGGATGTAATGAGAAACAGATCACATTCAGTTGAGAGCTTGAAGACAGTTGTCATAAAGGGTTTTCTGAGTTGGTTTTTGAAAGAAGGCTAGGCTACCAGCAAGTGCATATAAGTGCACAGAGGTAAAGCTCTGTGGAGAGAACAGTGTGAGGGCATTTTTAGCATAAAGATAATGGAAAAGTTTGACCAAAGGGCATGTGCGGTATAGTTTGGGGAGCTAAAACTTGACATATAGGTGGGGAGAACTTCCTTAAATACTTATTTGAAATTTTTTATTTCAGAGGGAAATAGGGAACCATAACAGGCTTTGAATTCAAGATATCTTGAGCGAACCATCAGTAAGTTACTATCACGTATCACATAGGATGGCTTGGAAGGGGATAGATAAGTGGACAGAGCTGGGATAAGGGAGGTTAATTAATTACTAGGTTAATCCCTTACCTCATGACAAATAACAACGTCTATACTAGGATCATGAAAATGAGGAATTATTTTTGTGGCTATGATAGATGTTGAGTCTTCAAGAGTTAGCAAAGTTGACATGTGTAGGTGACCAAGAGGAAGGATGGTGTGATGAATGAAGCTTTTGGTTTGGACCAGTGAAAGAGGAGACTAGTAATAGCTAACATTTGAGAATCACTCACTATGGACCAGGCACTCCTCTTTATGTGTAGTTACTCATCTGTTCTTCACAATCACCCCATGACATAGAAGCTATCTTTCATTCCATTTTATAGGGGAAGTAGAGCCTCAGTGGTATTATGTCACTTGACCAAAGTCACCCAGCTAGTAAGTGACTGGGTCCTGCTAGATCATGTCCACATAGACTGGCTTCAGAGTCCACATTGTTTACTATATTGTTTTTTGATGAATGGTAGTCCCCTTAGCAGAACTCTAGTGTGAGCTGTTTTGTGAGTATTAAATATTGAAGCTAGTCTTATACCTACAGAGTTTACAGAGCACTTATCTAATAGATAGCAAAGAATGGCATCTTTCATAGGGAACAGAAGACTTAGAATGACTTCTAAAATAACTGGCATTTATTTAATAATTGAATTTATATTGAAAGCCTGGTTTGTACAAAATATTCTAGGAGCAGTGTCAACATGGACAAGCTATGGCCACTGATTCTTTAAATCATTTGTAAACCAGTCTAGTAGATAATGTTCAGAAATATGATTGTGATATAAGAAAAGGAATGTCAGGTGCCATGGAGTGAAACAAACAACATGGAGTATTTTATTTGGTCTATTTTTTTTTAAGAGGAGGAAATTATGGCTTCTTAATTCAGCCATCAAGGAAGGCTTCCTGGAAGAGGTTGTTTATCAGTTGGTTTAAAAAGGTTGGGGTTGGAATAGATGGTGATAGATGGGGCAGGGGATTACCGGGGGGCAAGAACAAAATACACCAACAAAAAAGAAGTTTGGTATCTGGAGAGCTTGGGGAAGAAAGTACACAAATCTAAAGAGAATCCAAGTCAAAGGTGAGCTTTGTAACGCTAGCTTAGAAGAAAAATAGTATATTTGGCAAGCCCTACTCTAGAGTGAAATTTGCTATTTTGACATTTGTGAGATTAAAATTTAAGATCCACTGTGTATGACAAAATCTTTTGTTAATTGGTAGGATTCAGAAATTTATGGAAACGTGTGCCTCAAGGATCATATTATTTGCATGATAAACCCAAGAAATTTTAGAACCAAGTTGGATTATTTAAATCAAAATCTAAAATAAGAATTTTATTCTTACTTTAATAACAGAAAGTTACTAATTTAAAAATTTAATAATGAGCTAATCATTTAAATTAATAATAAATAATAATTTAAATTTTATTTAATTTTAATCATTTAAAATTTAATAAGTTCTTTATAACATATATACTTCATAAAAGTATATGTGTGGTATATATATAAATCACTCTTTTATCAACCTATAAATTAAAAATAATTCTAAATAGGGCCATACCATATATACAATCAAAATAAATATAAATGAAAAAAATATTCTTAAAAACCCATTTAAAATGTATGCCGTACATAGTATACTAATTTGACTGATTCACTATATGTAGGAGCTGTTGTGTTTTAGTTTTATGTATTGGTGTTCTGACTTATTCACTAATCATTTCTTTTAGCTTTAATCCGTTGGCTCATTTTCATATCCTATTTAATGTCTTATTTTGTCATTGAGAAGAAAGAGAAATCCTGGCCTGTGCTATGTCACCTGTTGTTTAATGGCTAAAACTGTTACATATCTTAAGACTGTATTACATTAAGTCATTTTAAAAGCATTGCTTTCCCCTTTGTTTAAAATTCCTGCAGTCCCTGGGATATTCGTAGGGGGTTAATGGAAGTCTTGATTAAAATCTTCTGAGCTTCAAGGCTTTTAGTTTTTGTAAACAATTTGGATCTGAGAGATAGGCTTATGTCTTTTTACTAGTCGACTTTCTGATTTAATGTTAAGAAAAACCGTAAGTTTTTGAAAATTTTTGTTGTAATAAGTACAAATTAAAATGCATTTTTTAAAAAAATTAACCACAGTCCATTGTGTGATGATCACAGAATTTATGGCAGTTCTTTCAAAACTTCTCTGTGGACACAAAAGCTTCATTTAAAAGTAAAGGAGCTGTCTTCAGTGTACCACTTTTCCACTATTAAAAATAAGCCTTTTAAGTTTTATATCTAGGCTGCTTCTAAGTGGTTCTTTCTACACTTGCAGGACCCTGAGCTCTAATCATGACTTAATCAATCTCACTTGCTTCCTAACAGCTAACCAAACCATAGGTAGATAAAAGCTCTGAAATAGGTCAAAGTCCTAATACAGTTGAGGTTTACACTTGGCTTCACAAGCTTAGCTTTATTAATTACCCATTTTTGTGACCAGCCCAAACTGGTCCTGCCTTTCTATGACTGGACACAGTGACTGAACACAGTACTTGGGTTCAGTCTTAATTCTTCTCTTTTTAATGTACCAGATGAGTTTTAAACATGGCTTTGAGTTGGGGTTCACATGGAACTGAGTTGGCACCTCTGTAGTTTCCAGTCCTTATAGTTTCCATGTGTGAAGTTCATTGCAATGTTGGGATTTTTGTGATATTCTCTGGATCTGACATGGAGAGCCACTGAAGCACATCTGTGTGTGTGTGTGTGGTTTTTCCTCCAAAAGCAAGGGGTATTTGGACAACAGAGCAAAGCTTCAAGAGAAACAGCAGATACCAGATCTTAATAATTCATCCCTTTGTACATTTTTCTCCCTAATAAATGGTGAGCTCCTGAGAGGGAAGAGGTGTGCCGTTTCTATATTTCTGTTTCTCGATGGCCCTGCCGTACTGCTCATGTCTTAGGAGGTCTACAATTGATACATATTTAATTGAATAGAATTCTATGAGGATATGTGCACTTTTTAAAATTTGGAAAACCACATTTTAATTTCTGTCTGAGATTACAATAATATAATATAATTTTTTTACCATTAATTAAGTTTATAATTACAGACTGATTAATATTTGAATATATTTTGGGGACTAAAGAAACGATTAGATAAGTTATTACTTACATGCATTTCTTTTTTCAATACTGGTTGGTGAGTTATTTATTCTGGATAAACAATCCATTATACTCATTTTGGGTTCCCATAAATACATTGAGTTTTACTGGACCATTTTTAAACTTGAAAAATTTTCTGAGTTATCTGGTGAAGTAGAGATTTCTCAGGGTTAATAGAGTTTTTTGATTTAGGAATCTAAAGAAGCAATCTGCCAATGGGTTTCCAGGCTTCAAAGAGTTCCAGTTAAACCTATTTATCTTTATTTTTAATCACTTATCCAAAATTTATTTTCTTTATGTAAATTCCTTTTGAAGAATAGTAACTCTGAATTCCGTTTTGGTTAAAATAATCAATCTTCTACACAGCTAAGTTAATAGTTTTTAGAGAATGATGCTAAACACTGTTGAATCTAAAATGTGGGAAAAAAGTTTCACCATTATTCTGTACTGCCCCCCTCTAAAGAAGGGAAACATTTTAGAACATTGGTACTGGGCTCAGAATAACGGGAAATGTGCAGTGGGACCATCTATTTCAATAACTGTATGACCGAGTCAGGAAATCGAAAGCTTACAGGACTGAAAAGTGAGATAAAGAAGAGAGGGAGATTCATAGATATTATTCCTTGAGCCTGTAGCATCCCATTTGCTATAGACAAACCTTGAAAGGAGAGTTGGAAAGCTTTTGTGAACTCAGGAATGCGTGTGTTGTTTGTACTACAAACCCAACCTCATCATCTTAATCTTGCCTGGAAGAGATGACTAAAAGTATGGGTTGTATCTGTGGAATTAAAATCTATAAAGGCAGCGAGCTTTGTTTTTCAAATGGAGTTCTTGTTTGTTTTCTTGACCCTTCCGGAAAATAGCGGAGGGAGAGGAGAGAGAAAGGGGATAGCCGTATGCAGAAGAAAGCTGGTGAACTATCCTGTTCTCCTGAGCCCTGATGTTGAACTGTGCCTACACTATGAGATCCCTCTGGTACCAGATGCAGTGCCTTTCACGTTTGGAATCCACGCACAGAGGAAGGATTCACGAAGAAACAGTCAGCATCAGGAAAGCCTTTGCTCTCTGCTCTTGCTCTGTGCCGTCAGTTATTTTTGTCTGGGGGCTTTACAGAGATGTAACTCCTTCAGTCATCCAAGTGTGATGTAGTAAAAGTCATTTGCAGGAAGTGAAACTCCACTTTGGTACTTTCTTTTCACTCAAAGGCTAATGTGATTAGCTCTGAAACATTTGTTCATCTTTTTACTCAGTATTTGAACTATGCCTATGGAAGACATATGGATTTAAATAGTACTTGGCTTACCATCTGCTGATAAGGGAAAGTGAGATGCTAAATCAGAGTGGCAGGAAAGTCTATTTCAGTAGAAGCTATTTTGATCTGAAATACTGTAGGGCAATCTTACAGAGTATTTTAATTGGGCTTATATTGATGTGAGTTAGTAAAAGGGAGTATATTTGCTGGGATGGTTCAACTTATATAATCATTGAATGTATCAGTTTAGAGATGTGGGGCAATGCAAAATTTTAATCCCATTAATTTTAGCCTTTTTTGCCTAAAATAATCATTTGTGGGAAAAGCTTTTTGATTCATTCATTTTAGAGCAGTGAAATATTTTATATCTCATGCCAGAAATTAGAACATAAAAACATCAATTTTTCAGATAAATTCATTCAAAATTTAAAAAAACCAATTTATTCTTTTAATATGGTGGTCATTTGTTGAGTATTTTTATTGTAAACTGCATCTTGAAAATCCAAGTTAACTTGGGGAGATTAGAAGAAGAAAAAGAGAGTATCTATTTTCATGATGATATAATGCTGGTGCATAATGCCAAAAAGTCTGTAATCGTGGCATATTTATATTTCAGGTTAAAACTTGGACAGTGTAAAATTATCGAGGCATTAAGGATGCTATGAACTGTAGAAGAATCTGAATCATATATAAGTATGTGCGTCTATATTGCACGCGTATAATTTTGATTAACCCTTACACCAAGTTTATTTTTGTTTTTCAAGTTAATCTGTCATTCTTTCATACAACATGTGTACGGCATACCACTTTTGCTTGAAGTGTTACACCTCAACACATGGTCTCCGCCTTCTGGGAGGAATGTACAGTAACGGGTCCTCCTCTGTGTCCAGAATTATGTCAGGCATCATCTCAGTTAATTCTCTGAACAACCCTGTGGTGCTGAACATTTGCAACTCCACTGTAAAGAAGGCACAAAGGTCTAGAGAAGTTGAGTAAGTTGCCCCCAAATAACACAGCTAGTTTAATTATGTTTAAATAAAGGTTACGTAGCAAGTGCCCATTTTGGCTTGGGCACTGTGCTGAGTGGTAAGTAGAAGACGAAAAAGACAAAGTCTATGAGATGACAGAAATGTTAACGGATGATTTTTAATGCAGAAAGTGCAGTAGCAGAGAAGGCGACCCTGAGTGTAGGCAGCTATCTTGGCCTGGGAGGTCCTCAGAGACATACTGGAGAACATGGTGCCTGAGCTGAATTCTCGTTTGTTGAATGAAGATGGAGCAAAAGGCCAAAGAACCACTGCATGGGCCCAGTGCCAGAGTCATGAACTCCTGTTGTTTACCCAGCGTGGCACCAGGCATGCGGTTCAGTAAGGCCCTGCCACATGTGGCTGTGGGCCCGTGGGCCCCGTGGGATGCTGCTAGTCTGAACTGACATGCGCACCAGATTCCTAAGTGCAGGTGTGAAAAACATCAGTGTTAAAACTATCGCATTATGCAATTTTCTATTAATTACATTTTGAAATGACAATATTTTAAATATATTTTCTCCAGCAGATATACTTAACAATTTTGCTTTGATTTGGTAAATCTGACTGACTGATTTAACAATTCAGAGATGGTTTGGTGTTTTGGAAACTTTAGAATTTCTTCATGTTGTTGCTTCTGTTTATATTGTTCTGTTGGTGCCTTTGAGTTATTGAATTGACAGATTTGGGGGGGCATTGGCCTTATTAAATAAGTGATTGGCACCACATTAGTTTATTTCCACAGGAAAATATGAAAGAAGTCCTGAAATCATACACATAGTGCATCATTTCTTAGAAGTTTTCTTTTTTTTTTTTGTAATTTGGAAATTTTGCATTCAATTTCTTGCAGGTAGGTTTACAATTTGTAAAATATTTAGGGCTATTCTTTTTCTAGCCTGAGAACATTACTCTTTCGAACTTAGATATTTTGTAAACTTTTTTTGCACAAGTATATGTTTTTCAGGACATGAAGCTTCTGAAATTTCTGTTGTATTTCGCTTGGTACCAGCTTTTTTCTTCTTTATCAAGGAAATGACTCTGTTAGTTTTCTTTACTAAGGAGCTTATGGGGGTCTAACTGAGAAATCTAGAACAGTCTGTAACCCCAGGATCTTACGGTGTGATTGGCAAAACACAAGTCAGCGCTGCAGATTCTATGGAGAAGCTCGTCCTCCTTAGATTAGGTGATGCCACTTGCTACTGAACGAACCCTATTCAGTTGACTTTGCCAGGTTCCACAAGCAGGTCTGTGCCTCAGACGCAGGAAGTTTTTCTCAAAAGCAGGTATTATTTTTATTTTTAGAAAGACCACAGTTAGGTTTAGCAGTACAATATTATCATTGATTTATTATAAACCACCCCAGAATTACTGATGAGTTAGTCATGCCCTTTTTATGTGTCAGAGAAGAGCATTCTCCTGTCTCCTTCAGTGAGAAGGAAGCAGGTTGCCATGTCAATATTTTACTGTTGCTGATGGCAGATGGCCCAATCTCAGTGAACGCCTTTCTCATTCTCCCCACTTTCTTTCCCATCCCCAGTCTTCTTTTCCCTCCCTTCCCTTTAGCTATTACATTGAGTCATTCTGTAACTACCCAAAAGCTCCCTTTGCAAAGGGATGCTTTAAAACTCAGTATGTGAGCAGAATTAGAGCATGGCCTCTTAGAACTAGAAGGTCATTATATCCAACCTTCTAATCTCTGCTCCATCACGAACACTGAAAGCGGAGTCCTTTAACTCTACTCCACCGCCATCCGGAAAGAGCAGCAGAAAGTACAGGAGTCATATCCACCCACACTGTGGATGTTACAGTGAGGACAGAGTGGGGACAATGATCCCATGAGAAGTCCGCCTCGGAAGTAAGAGGTTTCTGGTCTGTACTCTCCTCTTCTGCCCCTATGATGTAGGCATCTTTCTTAGCAAGGCTACTTGCCTCAGGGATTTAGAAGATTGTAAGTTATCAAACCAGTTAGAACTTTTATGTCACTGTACCAATGTACCAAATTCTTTTTCTTGCATTTACCTTGAATACGTTTCTGAACATATAGGAAGACTTCATCTTGGATGAAACGTTATAATTATAATTAAAAACAAACACTCTTAACTAAGCAAATTGTTTCCATTTTATCACCGTTACAGAGCATGTGGTCAAAGATGTCTTGTTCACAGATTCTTCCAGGCTAGGTTCCTAGGAATAGAATTTCTTTGTCAAAGGACATACACCTGAGAGTGTGGACAGGAAATGCTGGATTACTCTGCTGTTTCTAATATCAGCAAACAATTTGGAAAATAATTGTGTCTGTTCAGAATTTTGCTAGATGAGAATAGCAATGGAGGTAGAAATGAAGAATCACCGTGTGGGAAAAAACGCCTAAACTAGGAATTCTTGTGGTGACTTTTCCTGTTACTGTGCATGTGTCAGTCCCTGGATGGCATTTCTTGGAGCCATTTATTTGCATCACGTGGTAAATCTTTTCCCGCCTCACTCTCTCTGTCTTTGGAACAACTGTATTGTGGATTTGATGGATACTTAGTGTCAGCCAGCTTTTCCTTTCAGTGGTGTAAATTGCTCCAGTTGTTAAATATTCAGGAACAAAATGTAATTTTTTTTCAGATGAGTAAGAGGTGCTGGCTGATTTAAGATAAAAGGTGGACACATCCATGCAGCTAACATACGTATGGTGTTGAAGTGGTTATTACCTTCACCTCCTCAGATGTCAAAGCCATGGCATTATCGTTTTTCTCAATTTTCCCCTCTATTTTCCTTCTTATTTCGTTCCTTTTTTTAGAACAACTTGATGAATTTATGGGTACCATTTTTAACCACCTATCTATCAAACACAGTTTGATGTCTCACTAAATCTGAGCAAACCCAAAGGGTCTGAATAGCCCAGATTTTACCATAAGTTCTGTAGCTGTCTTACATTTTTACAGATAGTCAGTGGGTCACATTGCCTTTACTTCTTGAAGAGTCATCATCCCTGTTTTGAAGAATGAGTGGCAAAAGTGATGACATTCTGTTTCTTCTCACTGTTTTCTGATTTCTGGAGCACTACCATTCTGCACATTTCCTCTGGCCTTAAGAATGCCAGCTGGCTATTTGGAAAAAAAAAAAAGAAGAAGAAGAAAGAAAGAAATGCAAAAACAACAACAAAAAACCCAGGAATCACGGCTTCGGGAACCTGGGTGCAGCCCCTCCCTCGGTGCCGGGAAACCCGGAGCTCATTGGCCAGGCTCTTTCTGCTGTTTTGCTCCTCTGAACACCTGGATCGGCACCATTTTCTATTCTGCGAACTGGCCTTGAGCAATAAATCAACTCTTCTCTTTGCTCTAGACTTGGAGGAGCAGGAGTGCAGCTTCTTTCCACAGTTCTGACCTCCCTGCTTTTGGGAACTCTTGTTGGAGACTTTATTTAACAAAGCCAGCCTGTCTGTAGGTTGGTAACATGCAGCTTCTCTGGTCCTTCTCTGAGACCTTAAACAAAGGGGTGATACGACATGTAGACAGACAGACACACCTATCTGTGCACACACAAATTTGTGCCAGTGATCGTATGGCTAGATACACATGCCCACAATTCAGTATGTCCAGCTGGCTTTAGGAGAGCATTGAGCCTTGAACTTGCCAACACTTGTGCCATGGTGGAGGTGTCCCTTACAGGAAAATGGCATTATGAGATTAGGTAGACAGTGCTGTTCGTGTGTAAACGTAGAAATTCCTTCCCCTTGAAGTTTCCAATAAATGATTTTGTTTCTTTTAATTTGGTGTGATAAAAAATCATGTTGCCCTTTGGTGAAATCAGAATTGTGAAGCTTGATGCTTTTCACTTCTGGGTGCTGTTATTTTTATTGCACCAAATATGCATTTCAGGTGGCTTTGTGAATTACCTCTATTGCCAGTGCAGTCAGGAAACCTATGGTTCAATTATATTGCTCTTGCTCGTAGGATCATTTTCTCAGCTACTGCACCTTGGAAAGACTTCTGCAGTTTCCACCAAATTGCAGAAGCTGAGACAATCAGATGGATTTTTTTTCTTTTCATTTTGATTTATTTTGTGGTACTTTGCAGTACTTTGGCGAGCTCGCTAGTACATGTATGAAAGCACAGGCCCATCACACAGAAAATAAAATCAAAACAGGAAACTCCAGCATGCTTTGTAACAAAGAAAACAAACAAAAAAGCATTGTCATTTTTTCCAGTGCAAATAAATAGAGACCAGTAGTGTGACATTTATCTAATGAGTGTCTCCGCGGTGTCACCATTCTGCGTTTTCGTCCACTTCTTTTGACAGGTGTGTATGCTGTCAGACTGTCCCAGCAGAGTACATGGTTGGGATTTTGAAAATAGCCTTTGAATCTTGTCGTAGGCCAGCCTGCTCAAAGATGGTGTCGGAGGCACCACTTGTGAGAGCCTCCTGAACTTAAAAAGAAAAACACCTGCGCTGTCAGCAAGGCTTCTAGTAACCAGTTCACATTGTTATGCGTCATTTAACTACTTTCTCTCTGTCAGCAGGAGTCTTTGTTTCACGCCTGAGGGTTGTCATGTCAGAAGTCAAAATAAAAGCCCAAAGTCTCTAACTTGAATTTCAACAGTGAAGATGAGGATTTTTTTTTTTAACACCAAGCCAACTTAGCATTTCACTGTGTACCTGGTGGCATCCTGTACCCAGGTGGCAATAACATATTAAACATGATTTTCCCCTAAGTATCCTCCTTTCACTCAGCTGTCTTCCAGACACCTGGCTGTTTACTAGAAACCTCCATTAAGATATTACAGGGTTAGAATATGAAGACATGTTTGATTGCCTTTGGTATGATCCTCTTCTCCACTTTCAAGGGTATGTGACATTATTTAGAACCCTGTGAAAGTTACATCTAGTGCAGCTCATGTTCACAGGTACACCATGGGCGTGGACAGTGGTCAGATGAGCATCCTTCCTCCGAAGAACAGGATCACCTTATCAGTTCATATATCATGGCCCCTTGCCGTCATTCAGCGTATTCCCCTCATCCAAGCCTGCTGCAGGAATGGACAGAAATCTTGGGGTACCAGCATTGTGCGGGGGTTGGTTGAATTCAGCATGTTGGCACCAGAACCTGGAGAGAGATAATTGATGGCCCATACGGTGTGTGTAATGGGACTCATCAGCTGTTTAAACATACACCAGTTATTTTCAAGCTTTCCAAACCCATCTGTCACCATATTGTCCAGTCACATGAAATAAATTGTCATTTCTCTCTGTATAAACTGATACAGTCCTAATTGATTTTTGCTGCAAACTTTTGTGTAAATAGACGTGTGTCATCAGGCTCTATTGTTTACTTGCTTTTGCTGTTCTGTCCCCTACCAGTCATTTCTTGCAGTTTTTGCATGCTTGAAAAAGGAAAAAAAAAGCAGGTATAGCCAGATGGCCACATCATTAAAAATAAAGTGTTAAAGACCCTTGATGTGGGATGAAAAAACTCCTTGTAGAAAGGACAGCACATCTTCTTTTCCAATGTGTATATAGTTGAGTCAAGAAAAACATAGTACATCTTTATTGTAAATCCAAGTAATATGTCTCATAGTATCTTATTTAGTCACTGATTTTTTTTTTCCTTTTCTTCTTCACAACAGGAAGGGTGATTTAACATAAACTCCCGGGCCTTTTGGCAATGTTGGCAGGCTCCGCTTATAACTGGGGGTGAGGGGAGAGGGGTCTGAGCCCTTCTTTCTGCAGAAACTCAGCCATCTGTAGGATGCTTGCAGTTCTCTAGAGAATTCTGTGGAAGCACTAGGAGGTGTGTGACTAAAGAGGGAAAGTGCACATGTACTTTTCTTTTCCCCAGTGGTAGTAAAAGCAGGAGGTACCTTGGTAATCGATGCACTGGTTCCTGAAGGCGTTTTACCTCTGACAATATTAAATAGACCCCAGATCTCATTGGTTCCCCTAGGAGGTAGGTACTACAGAAGTACCCATTATCATTGCATGAGTTATCATGACACCTAATACCTCAGCTGGAGTTTAAGAGTTATAACAGCCAGGGGACTGAACGTGAGCGCAGTAAAGACCTGAGAGGGCCCGTGAATATAAGGTAAAAATCACGTGGTTGGCTCCCATGGAAGATTTAAATTGTTAAAGTAAACGCGTATGATCACTTGAAAGTCTTGGATTTTCCAAGGAAATTAACGAACAAAGGGTATATCATTCTCTTTAAATTTCTATGAGTTATTTTTTTCTTTCTGTTTGTATTTGCATAAGAGGAAATGAAACAGCGCAGAGTTTTAATTCCGCCCCCTCCTCCTCCAAGCTAAACCACCGGTTTAGTGATTATCAGAGGAGACTTTTATAATTCTGTTTTGAGCTCAGTTCCCTGGCTGCAATTCACTCAACCTTGACATAAATCTGCAATAAGTACTTTGTGAGGGGTTAGCCTTTTGTGCTGGGTGTGTGAGAAATCCTGCCGGACCAGGTTGGTTACAGAAACCAGTGTCAAGTTGCCTGTCCTGAGAAATGAGTAAGGAAAAGTGCAGACAACAGAAAAGTACGGGGGAAAAAAGTCTTCCAAAGCACACCCTTACCCTCTGCTTCCGAAAGGCTTCTTGTCTACCTTTGAAGGACTCCCAGCCCGGTTTCATGATAAGTATTTGTTGGATGGGTTATTTTTGCTTTTTTTTTCCCCTTTTTTTTTTCAGAAATTACCCAGTCATTGCTAGTGGGTGCAGTGTATCAGGACAGTAGACAAGCGTTCCATTCACAGAACCCACATTTTGTGTGGTACTTGTTGAGGCTGGTTTCCTTTCATTTAATCCATTTGATCGTGCTATTTGCCTTAGGTGATCAGCAACCTTTAAGGTAAATCCCCGCCAATCTAATAAAAGAAATGGAAAGAGAGAAAATGCAGGCATGCACCCAGGAACTGTAGTCAAGCCTTCGCTGTTTCTGCCTGTGTTGTCCCACAGTATAGACCAGTTACGTATCTCCTCCCCACCTTTGAAACATCTACTCTTTTTCTCTTTTAATTTTTTTTTTTAAAGCAAGTGCTTTCTGTTGTTTAGAAACAGAAGTATACTGTCTTATCAGTGCACTGCCCTGTACTTGGGAACTTAAAAAAAAAAAGTCAGAATTTTGTTTAGTCCTGAATGTAGTCTATTTCCAGTTGGCCTGAAAGTTGTTTTAAATAAATCATGTTTCTAAAATCCAACCAAAAAAAATTCCCCCCCTTATATAAACTGCAGCTCAGCATCGCTGGAGCATTTTTTTGGCAGTCAGACTAACCAGCTGATTTGAGTTTCATTTCTTTTTGAAGAAGAAGAGGGAATAATTCTTGATAAGTCCAATTACAGATTTGTATTAAGTACCAACACCAAAAAGTGTTTTTTTTAAATAAGAAATTTTTAAAAAACAGTGATCCAAAAATATCCCCTAAAAATGACAAAAGTAAATAGCCATTTTCTTTATCCATCAGAACAATCAGAATAAAGGGGGTACTGAGAGCCTGAAAATACAGGGAGTGGTCTCTGTTTCACATTCATACCTTTAAAAGGTCCTGCTGAATTAAGATTTTTATTTTTAATATTACTGAATTACTTTAAAAATCATTCGTTAAGAATATGAATTTTACCTGCCTGCAAAAGAAATAATCTTCTCATACTTTCTTGGAGCCCTTTATTCAACTTTTATGTCAACTGTTTTTTTTTGTGTTTTTTTTTCGGTCTACACTGTTAATCTTGTTATATTGTCATAGCCTTGTTACTCAGGGAACACTTACACAAGCACCAGGAAAGTTTAAATCCTTTTTTGTAATTACGTTTTGAGAAATATTTTTGGATTTGTTGATAAAGATCAGGTGTTTGGTTTTAACAGCAGTAGAAAACTTTCTTTTTAGAGGGTGTGTGTCTTCATCAGTACTTCAGGACATTCTTGGTAGTATGGTGACTGGTGATCAGAACAGGTTAGGCACTTTTCCTGGCTTTTTCTTGCTTTCTTCCTTAAGCAGCTGTGCACGATTGGAGCCAGTAACTTAGAGATGTATGTTATGTATGGTTGGATCTTGAGACGTGATTCATGTTTCCCTTCTCCCCTGGAGCAAGCTTCCTCTAATCCATTCCATTCAAAAGGTCACCAGGGATAAAATTCTATTTTCATTACTTAGTTTGTGTTT